ATCCCTGCCGTGCCGGGATCGATCCCTGCCTTGCCGGGATCAATCCCTGCCGTGCCGGGATCGATCCCTGCCGTGCCGGGATCAGTCCCTGCCGTGCCGGGATCAATCCCTGCCGTGCCGGGATCGATCCCTGCCGTGCCGCGTTTCCCGGGCAGCTCCCGCGGGCGGGTCCCGCTCCAGCGGCTCCCGCTCCAGAGGCTCCCGCTCCAGCCGCTCCCGCAGCCCCCTCCCCGCATCCCCCTCGCCGCCCCCGCGGTCACAGCTCGCCCGGCGCTGCCGTCACTCAGCCGCGCGTCTGGAAGTTGTTCTTGGATGGGCCCTGGGCATTCCTAGACGCACATTCCTGGCAGCCGGAGAGCCCCGTAGGAAAGATTTCTTCCCTTGAAAATATCCGGTCCACGTGGAGGGGAAAAGGGGACGGGGCAAGCGCGGCTCTCCCGCCCCCATCCCGGCGTTCCCGGGGCGCTGGGGATCCCTGGGATCCCGGCACGGGGACACCTCCGGAGCCCCCCCCCGAGGTGACCGCAGTCCTGACCCAGCAGCCCTGGGGGGGTCTCTGCGCCCCCGGCAGTGCTTCCCATAGGAGTGGGATCCCAGAGTGCCCGGCACATCCCCGGGAACTCCGCGGAGCCCGGAATGTCATCCCAAGCACCCCCCGCTCTGCAGGGCTGTCAGCAGGGAGGGGGGATCTGAAGATGGGGACAGGCAGGATCCAAAGGGATCAGGAGAGCCTTGGAGCAGGGAACGGGAGTGAGTCCTCCCCACTCCACAGGCCAGTCCAGGTCCTAAAGCAGGGGACGGATCACAGTGAGGAATTCCAGGATTGGCCTCCCTGGGAGAAGGCTCCTACCCCAGGCTCTGCTGCCCTGCCAGGGCTGGGAAGTGATGCCCAAAGCGGGATATCCTGGAAGCTCTCTGGGAAGCTGCAGAGTCAGGGGCTGGGAGGCTGCTCCAGCCCCAAATCCCTATTTCAGAATTCCCGAGCCAGTGCCGGGTCCGGAGCTCTGGCCCGACCCAGGGCTGGGGGGTCACCGGCCCAGGGACCTGCTCCCCATCCCGGTGGGAGCCCGAGGAGCCCCGGAGGATCCAGACGGATGTGCCTCTGCCCAGGAAGGCCAGCAGGGAGAGCGCCCGGGAATGGCAGCGGGACGGAAGGTGCTGGAGAAAAGCGGGATCATTAGCGGAGCTAAACGAAAGCAGATGCTCCGGGAGCCGGGGCTTCCAAAGCACACACGGAGAGCGCCCGGCCCGGCCAGGGGATGACAGTGGGCTGGATTTCGGAAGCTGCTGAGACGTGGATTAACTGTGGGAGCACACGGGGAAGGTGCGGAATTCCGGCTGGGAGCGACAACCCCCCGCGCGGAGCTGCCGGGAGCGGAGACTTCCCAGCAAACAATTCCCGTCTCCATCCAGGTTAAAGTGCTGCTCACCCACACCGGGCAAAGGCACGGAGAGGAGGGCACACATTCCCGCTGTTCCCAGGTTTGGGATAAGGAAGTCCCGAGCTGAGAGAACTCCCCAGAGCTCCAGAGCGTGGAGGGATCCACGGGTTCCCTGGAGCCGGTGTGGGTGTGGGATCTCGGCCCCGCACCTCGGTGGCCTGGGATGCTGTGGGGATTCCAGGCCCAGAGGAAGAGGAGGAGGCTGATGGTCATCACCAGGGCCAAATGAAGGGCGAGGAAGATGCTCCCAGGGCTGGAGCCCCTCTGCTCTGGAGCCAGGCTGGGAGAGCTGGGAATGTTCCCCTGGAGAGGGGAAGGATCCAGGGAGACCTTGCAGCCCCTTCCAGGGCCTGAAGGGGCTCCGGGAGAGCTGGAGAGGGACTGGGGACAAGGGCTGGAGGGACAGGACACAGGGAATGGCTTCCCAGGGTTAGGTGGGATAGTGGGAAGGAATTCCTGGCTGGGAGGGTGGTGAGGGATGGGGATGGAATTCCCAGAGGAGCTGTGGCTGCCCCATCCCTGGCAGTGTCCAAGGCCAGGTTGGATGGGGCTCGGAGCAACCTGGGCGAGTGGAAGGTGTCCATGGCAACCCTGGCACGGCCAGAAGGACACAGGGACAGGGGACAGGACACAGGGACAGGGCTGGGCTCAGCACACAAGACCCAAATTCCATCCCTGATACCTGGGCAGGGAACTCAAGCAAATCCAGGCGAGCCCTGGAGCTCGGGCGGCCCCTCAAGGGTTAATTCCTCCCTCTCTGCCCCATTAGCAGCCGCAGGAGCAGCAGCAGGAGCAGCAGCAGGATGGATTCCGTCATGCTGGGAAGGGGAGGGGGCTCTGGGGGCTCCCTGGCTGGGATTCATCCTGAGCAGGAGCCCCTGGCCCGGGCACGAGGTGTCCAGGAATCCCATGGGAACAGGGTCAGGGGAGGGACCAGGAATCCCACGGGAACAGGGTCGGGGAGGGACACGGCCACCAGTCCCACCCCAGCACGGAGGGTCCTCTGGGAGCGCCCAGGGACACCCAGGGATCCATCCCACTGTCATTCCCCTGGGACAACGTGCTGGTTTTGGGATGCAGGTACCGGCTTGGGGCCGGGAGCACCGTGGAAAAGGACACGGTGGGGACACCGGGAATGCTGCGGGACCAACCTCCTCCCTCCGCTCCGGGGGCTCATCCTGCTCCTCGAGGGGGTGCAGGGACCCCCCGGAGCCCCCCGGCAGCGCTGTGCCCACCCGGGCCACCCTGACCCAGGACGGTGCCAAGTGTGCCGGGCTGACCCGGGTGAGCCCCGGCACCCCGTGCCGAGCCCAGACCGGGGATCGGGACGCAGATTTAGGGGGGAAAACAGCTCTGGGGCGAGACGAGACAAACGGAAAAGCGGGAGGACCGGAAAGCCCCGGCGCAGACGGCGAGTTGTTGGCAGGAGCTCGGCGGGACCCCCGCGGGCCCGGCCGAGCCCGGAAGAGTTAAATCCCCGCCGGAGGGTGAGCTCAGGTAGGCTGAGCCTGGGGCTCCCCTCGAGCCGGAGGAGGGGCCTGGCTGACCAGTGCCGCCTCACAAAACCCGGCTCCCCGCCGCTATAAAAGCCGGCTCTGCCAGGCTGGGCGCGCACCGTGCCCGTGCGCGCCGGGAGCGGGCGGGGCGGCCCGGAACCCCCCTCCCCGAGCCCGGCGGGGACCCCCCCACCACCCCGAGCAGCGCAGCGCCCGGGACACCCCCCTCCCAACCATGTCCTTCGCCATGCTGCGCTCGGCGCCCAGCCGCTACCTGTACCCCGAGATCAGCATGCTGTCCGAGGACGAGGAGAACGGCAGCGAGAGCTCGGGCTCGGACGAGAAGCCTTTCCACCTGGACGCCGAGGGCTACGCGCTGAAGGCGGGCAAGCGGCGCGGGGCCAAGAAGGCGGCGGCGGCGGCGCGGCTGTCGCGGGAGCCGCGGCAGAGGCACACGGCGAACGCGCGGGAGCGCGACCGCACCAACAGCGTCAACACCGCCTTCACCGCGCTGCGCACCCTCATCCCCACCGAGCCGGCCGACAGGAAGCTCTCCAAGATCGAGACCCTGCGCCTGGCCTCCAGCTACATCTCCCACCTGGGCAACGTGCTGCTGGTGGGCGAGGCGTGCGGCGACGGGCAGCCGTGCCACACCACGCCCGCCTTCTTCCCGCACGCCGGAGGTGGAGGAGGAGGTGGTGGAGGCGGCGGCGGCAGCCCCCCGGCGCGGGACCCCGACAGCTCCCAGCCCAAACAGATCTGCACTTTCTGCCTCAGCAACCAGAGGAAGCTGGTGAGTGGGGTGCTCGGGGAGGGGGGTCGTGCGGGGAGGGTGCGGGATGTGTTGCCCAGGAATTGGGGAGGGGTCCGGCAGTGCCGGAGCGCCGAGACGGGTCCGGTTTAAATGGCATCGCGCCGGGGTGAGCCGAGGGGGAGTGGGGTGACTGGGATAGAAAAGCAGCTCCGGTTGGAGCTGGAGAGACACCAGAGTCCAAAATCCTTCCAGGGGACCCCCAGGCTTGGGGGTCTGGGAGTGCGAGGGGCACCGAGACAGTTCTGCTTTAAATGCACCACACCAGTGCGAGCCGAGGGGGAGTGGGGTGACTGGGATAGATGGGATGACTGGGACACAAAAGCAGCTCCGCCTGGAGCTGGAGAGACACCAGAGTCTGTCAGAGAGTGCAAAATCCACTCAGGGGACACCCGGGTGCCCCCAGACGTGGGAGCCCGGGAGTGCTGGGGCGCCCAGACAGCTCCAGTTTAAATGGCACCAGGCTGGTGTGAGCCGAGGGGGAGCTGGGATGACTGGGATAGAAAAGCAGCTCCGGTTGGAGCTGGAGAGACACCGGAGTCTGTCAGCGAGTCCAAAATCCTCCCAGGGGACCCCCAGGCACGGGGATCTGGCAGTGCCGGGGTGCCAAGACAGCTCTGCTTTAAATACCATCCCAGTGGCGTGAGCGAGGGGGGGAGTGGGATGGCTGGGACAGACGGGAGGGCTGGGATAGAAAAGCGGCTCCAGTGGGAGCTGGAGAGACACCAGAACCTGTCGGCGAGTCCAAAATCCCCTCGGGGGATCCCCGGGTGTCCCCAGGAACGGGAGGGGGGTCTGGGAGTGTCGGGGCACGGAGACGGTTCCACTTTAAACAGCACCAGTGGTGTGAGCGAGGGGGAGACGGGATGGCTGGGACAGACGGGATGGCTGGGACAGACGGGATGACTGGGACAGACGGGATGGCTGGGACAGACGGGATGACTGGGATAGAAAAGCAGCTCCGGCTGGAGCTGGAGAGACACCAGAGCCCGTCGGCGAGTCCAAAACCCGCTGTGGAAAATACGGTGCCTCCCCCGAGCACGTCCAGAGCTGCCGCCCGAAGCTGCTTCCAAATCCCAAAAAAAAAAAGAGGCAAAGGGACGGCAGCAGGAGGGAAGCCCCGCGAGGGGGAGAAACGGGACTGATTGAGGAGCTGGAAACCAGAGGCACGGGGAAAGTGAGAGTGTGGGAAGAGCCCGTGGCTCCCCTCCGGCAGGACCGGGCAGCAAACGGAGACGGGAGAGGGATTTGGGAGCTGGGCTGGTCGCAGCCGGGGCTCCCAGTATCCCAGTGCTGGGGCTCCCAGTATCCCAGTGCTGGGGCTCCCAGTCCCCCATGCCAATGCTCCCAGTATCCCGATGCTGGGGCTCCCAGCCCCCTGATCCTGGTGCTCCCAGTTCCCCAGCGCCTGGCTCCCTGCTCCTGGCTCCGACCCCGTGTTTTTTAGGGAATACTCTCCTCCCAGCCTCTGGCTGAGGCTGCTTCTGTCCCCACTGGCACCGGCACCGTCCCAGTGGCTCTGCTGGGCAGGTAGAGCGGGACACACTGGGAAAATCCAGCGGGAATTTCCTCTTGGATCCAAACCCTAAAATCAAAAAGGCAGCGAGCAGGGACACCAGAACCCCTTGAGGGTCCCCTGGCAGGAGGGGGCTGCCCAGACCCACAGGTGAGAGCAGGAGAGCAGAGATGGGGGGGTCGGGGTGGCAGCCGGAGTGATCCCTGCCCGCCCCAACCCTCCAGGATCATCCCGGAGTGATCCCTGCCCGCCCCATCCCCACAGGATCATCCCGGAGTGATCCCTGCCCGCCCCAACCCTCCAGGATCATCCCGGAGTGATCCCTGCCTGCCCCATCCCTCCAGGATCATCCCAGAGTGATCCCTGCC